ATGAATTATACTCTTTATTTATGAGGCCAAATATATTGGAGAGGTTAGAAAACATGGTTGTGATGAGAGAAAGAAATGCCTTGTATTGGAGACAGTTTTACATTTATATAGAAATGTAAACAATTTTTTGCCCTATCATATAACAATTCTAAAATTAAATAGAAAGAAAGCAATTAAAATTATATCCCCACTCAAATAAACAAAAAAAAAAAAAAATCATATTTACATATTTTATTTTCTAAATGACATTATAGTAACATTCAACTACAACTTTTCTAGTCAAGTTGTCTGTTTTAGTGAAAAGAAAGAAAAAAAAAATGTCTAAATTGAAATTTAAACAAAATAGAATGAAAAGGAAATCAGCAAATGGTATCTTGATTTGTTTTTTTTTTTTTTCTTTTCAAACTGACACTTTTTTTTTCCATATATCTAAACTATAATTTTGGAAAATGAAAATTTCATTCACATACACTGGAAATTTTCCAAGTTTTCATCTGAAATCAAGAAAATACGATCTTTAATCAAACTGGACATGATATATGGAAAAAAGGTGTTAGCTCAAACTGGCGCCAGGATGATATGGGTTTTAATGAAGTAGGCTGTGTCACAGTAAACAAAAAAAAAAAAAAAATAAAACACCAAGTTGGAAGGTGGAAGACAAAATTTATAATTAGAAGAAATACATGTTTTTTCTTTTCTTTTTTTTTTTTTTTTTTTTTATTTAAATTTATATTATAAAAAAATGTATTTAAATGTGTAATGCAAAATTTTGTGCACTGTCCTCCCAAATTAACAAAAACTGAAATAAATAAAACATATAAATACCATTACATATGTTTTCTTTTATTGAGCCATCAACAGTATAGCCCTTGGTCAAGTAAAATGTAAAATCCAACATTTAAAACATGAACTCTCCATCTGATGCTTTGTGAGACAAGCAGCACGTTATATATATGTTATTTAAGATTTCTCTGTAGAATACTTCTTTTGTTTTCCTTTACAAGGGAGGGGTCATTAATTTATTAAAAACCAGAAATATATTCATTAATCTGGAATGTGAATAAAAGAAGACTTTAAGCTATTAACTATGTTCACACTGCAGACTGTATTTACAAACTTCCGTCAAGTAAGTTCTTCATCTTGAGTAAATTACACAAAAGAATCTTTTTACAGTTATTTTCTTTCAAAAAAATTTTTTGCCATGCTGTAGAACATATGGAAAATAGATTTTTCTTTTAATTCTAAAATTTCTCCCATTGTTCTAAAGCCATGTTTAAAAAAAAAAGAAATAAATAAATAAAATCGAGATACATATATTTAGTCTGTGTAGGACTAAATATATGACCAGATAAGCAAAGCAATGTTTATATAGATGTTTAGTTTTCAAAATGTTGGAGATATTTTTGTAAAGAAATTATTAATTCATATCCAGTCACTATTATTTATATCTAGCCAGAGAGAGATGTATGAAACAATGGATCTTCCATGAAAAAAAAAAAAAAAAATGCAATAATCACACAATTGACAAGTTGGTAACATTTAAAGTTAAACCAATTTAGAACAAGATCAATAGATTCACAATTTTTTGAACCTTGACAGTTTTCTCATTTACTAAATTAAATCCTTGTCCTTCATGCTTCCAACTATATTATTTAGATGTAATTTTAGAAGAAATATCTCTTACAAAAAACAAAATAACACACTTTAGTATCAAGGTTTTCAGTCCTTATATCGACTTGAACAGTTTTTTTGTTTTTACCTCCAAAAACGCTATCCACATTAGTTTTATTCCTTAGTGAACATTAGATTTCAATTTTACTCATTTTTAAAATGTCAGTAACTGATCTTAAGCCTTCAATCTCGTGCAGCAGAGAATGACTTTAAAACATCATCCAATGAAACTTATTTTCACAATGTCGATTTAAAAAATAAAAAAAAAGTCACAAAAAAATAAAAATAAACGAAAGAAATTGACAAATCCTGTATTTTCAGATGATGTATTTATTTAAGCAGTACATCGTTAATTGTGTCAATGAATTTGAAGGCAACAAATTTGTCGTCAAATTACAAATGGTAGTTCAGTACTGATTTCATTTTTTTTTTTTTTTTTTTTTTTTTTTTTTTTTTTTTTCTTAGATAAAACTCAAGTTCCTCCATAATAGAGGACTATCATTTTCAGTGTATTAACAGTTATTTTTTATATGCACATGCATTGTAATTCAGTAATAAATAAAAATTTATATAAAAAATGTCAATATTCTGTATTAAACAGAATATTGGTGGGGGGGGAAAAAAAAACAAAAACATCTCTAAAAAAAAAAAAAAAAAAAGTGTTTGCAAAAGAATGAGAATTTAAAAAAAAAACAAAACAAAAAAAAAACCCTCACCTTCCATAAGATGGTGGAACATGTGACTATTCTCCCGTATATAGTTATACACTTCTATTCGTAAATACTTTTGCACAAACATACATGAATGCCTCTCTTTTTATTTTTTTATATATATATATATGCGTGTGTGCATATTTGTTTGTTTTTAAAAGTAGGGCTCAGATGTCAGATGTAAATTTTAAGATTAAAAATCTCTTGATCAAATTGTGGATGGAATATGAAATCCAATTAAAACTAAGCAAAGGTATGAATGCCCCTTTTATATGAAAGGTTCACAACTAACCACAACAAAGAACCCGACAAATTTGATAAGTTTCAGAAATATTTGTCTTACAGATTTTAAGTGATAGCCTTGAACAAGCATCCATCTTATCTTATGATATGATATATAATATGGACTTCTTTCATCAATGAAATAAAAATTTACTTCAATCAAATTTGTGTCTATTTGGATGAAGAAAAATGTTCCAGTTTCTAAATTACTCAATATTTATTTACATAGGCTTAAATCTTTGATATTAAGGAGCTTGTTAATTCATGTATCACAGGGCTTGATTCTGTAAGTTTCAAGAGACAGGAAATTTTTATTTCAAACCAAAAATGAGTTCTGAATGTTCAATGAAGGAATGACAATTGATTTGAAAATTAGTTATCAAATTTCATCAGGTTTTTTTTTTTCCTTCTTTTAAATAAGCATTGTATTCTTTGTGGTTTTATTCTTTATTCAACCCCACAATTCTCATTGTCTGTTTATTTATTGTAGTATTTCTTGGCTCATATATTTGAGAAAAGTTGTCTTGTCATGGTTTTTACAACCAAACATAGTCACAGATCCATAACTATACAATCTTCAATACATAGCCACTAATATTTTTGACTTGGGTTTTCAAATAACTTCTTAGCTCCACAGTATGGTATTAATTGTAGCAATACTGCAGTTGTCATGGTTTTTTTTAATTTTGTTTTTGTCACAACCCCACACCCCAAACACTCAAAGATACTTGCATAAAGTCATGTTTGGAATTATTCATAATTTATTATAGTATTACTTTAAATGGTTTCTCAAACTAGGAGAAAGAATTGATGCTATAAAAATAATGTTTCAAATCAATGGTTTTAGTCCATTTCTTCATAACTAAGATATATATAATTTTTTAAATGTTTAACACTTATTACTGAAAACATGAAGGACAAAAATAGCTCTTAGTTGAGGGAGGCAAAGTTAGACAAATTTCCAGCTTATATTGAATATTTTTCATTTAAACCAGATTTTGTTTTGCTTTTTTTTTTCTTCTTTTTTTAAAATGGGAAGGAAAATGTTTATTTTTCCTTTTATATGAAAGAGTTGAAAAAAAAAACACTATGAGAAGTAATGTGATATGATGTTCAAAATAAATTGTAATGGAGATCTACCAGTGCTTAGCATCACATTGCCCAAATCGAACAAGATAGCTTTTTTTATTTAAGGTCTTTCTCCTTAAAAAAAAAAAAATTCTATTGGTGTGGTCAGGACATGCTAAGATATTTTATTTTTTACTGTTAACTTCCCCCTACCCACCCACTTTGTCATTTAGATTGCTGCTTTAATTAATTATGTTAGCAATTGATTCTGAAGATGTAAATCACAGACAGACTTCACGGAGGCCCTCAGAATGCAACAGGTCAAACCTTGTAGATATATACAGCTACATTTAGAGAACTAATTACTAATGATATTTTTTTTTTATTATTTACAAGTGATGCATTAGAAATAAACGTAAAGAAATAGAAATCTATGGAGAGTTTCAAGTTTAGTCTTCTAGAATAATAATTAGTAATTTATTGTAGGTGGGACTGGCAGAACAGGAGAAAGTTCTTTTTTTTCTTTTCTTTCTATTTTATCTAGAAAAAGGGCAGTGGCTAATAGCTTTCTTTTTTTTTCCTTTGTTAAAAAAAAAAAAAAAGTAAAAGAAAATTTAAAGTGAAAAAAAAAAAAAGTAAAAACAAAAAAAAATCATATTCATTCATTGAAATTACAATTAAACTATCTACAAATATTACAAAAAATTAAACGATTAATACATTATTAATAATATTATGATATCATGCACTGGCGACAATTAAGAGCCAGTGTTGTCATTGTCTTCATAAGTTATTATACAAAATATTCACTTCCATTATTATCAGAAGTGAACATCAGGTGGGGAAAAATAATTTGAGGGTCAGAGTTGGGGGAAGCCACACATGTGGATGCACGCATACATACATACATACACACACATACCTGAACAACTTAAAAACAAATACAAGTGTTAACACTGATTTCAGGACATATGAATTGATAACTGTCAGATTCTTTTTCTCTCTCCCGTCCCTAGCACCACAAAAATGATGGGATGTAACATTTCAGTTGTTGTTCATTTTTCAGTCTGTAGATTAGAATTAATAATTCATTCTGTAGATATTTATTTTTCACAGGAAGGGACAAAAAGGGTGGGGCTGGGTAATCCTGGCCTTTCCTGGCCTCAAAAAGTCAATCAGGACAGGCTCTCAGAGACAAATGTGTGGTTCAACGGTTTGACCAATGGACAGTTCAGTAGGGTAAATTTCTTCTGTGGGTCAATAGTTAGGCTAGGATACAGAAGCAGCAACTTCGCCTATTTGCAAGTTAGAACTGTTACTACCAGCTGTACTGTACGAGGCATCCATACTGTTGTCCGACATTACATCATTGATGTCACTGGCATCACCATCTTCGCTGTTAGTGTCTTCTTGTTTAGTTTTCACGGGGTAGTCTCTGTCATTGTCAATGTTGCCAGAACTGCTTGAGCCAATTAGCTGGTTTGCGTCAAATGGGGAATTCATATTCTCATTGCCTGTTTAGGAAAAAAAAAAAAAAAAAATACAAATTAAATAAAAATATAAAAATTCAAGTTTATATCTTAAACAAAACAAAAACATTGCACCATGAATTTAAAATCCTCTGGAGATTGCACTTATATTAGGTTGTCCCAAAAGTTCGTAAACACTTGCAAAAAATTGAAATCTTACTCGCCAAGTAATAACAAAAACAACAAAAATTATTCCTCAAAATAAAGACCATCATTTTCCAAGACTTTCTGCCATCGATCTGCAAGTTGGGATCTGGTGAAAGTACCATTCAGCCGACTTCAATCAAAGAATTCTTGACACGCTTCTCGACTTCCTCAAACGAGGCGAATCGGCGGCCCTTCAGAAAGTGTTGCATTGAGCAGAAAAGGCAGAATCTGATGGAGCACAGTCAGGACTGTAGGCTGGATGTGGCAGAACCTCAACGCCGTCCAGCTCTTCAAACTTGTCTTTGGTCTTCCTGGCGGTGTGTGACTTGGCATTGTCCTGCTGCATCAAAGCACGCTTTCGGTTGATCAGAGCCGGATACATTTGCTTCAACTTTTCGTAGACCCGCTCCAGTTGCTGACAGTAAAGTTGGGCACTGATGGCACGACCATTTGGAACCAACTCAAAATGCACGATTCCTTCAAAGTTCCACCAAACGCACAACATGACTTTCTTGCTGAATCGATCTCATTTTGGAACCGATGGTGTCTCTTGCCCTTTCTGAACCCATTGCTTGTCTCGATTGTGCTGGACCAGATAGACCCATTTCTCATCTGATGTCACAATGCGCTTCCAAAAACACTCATCCAATGGATTGCTGAGCAATTGATGGCAAATTTCATTCAACTCGTCCGTTGGCTTGTGCTTCGGTGAGTTCGTGCGGATCTTAGCGCTGCTTTTTGGAACAAAATCAAGTTGCTTCAAGTGTCGGTGAATTGTCGATTTGCCAACTCCAAGCTCATCAGCCAATTCTCGATAAAGTAGTAAAAAAAAAACAAAAAAAAAAACAATTAAAAATTGCATAAAAATTCAATTTTTCGCAAGTGTTTACGAACTTTTGGGACAACCTAATATTTTATGCATGACTAGCTCCAATCAAAGTTAACAATAGGTGTAACAGCTTCTATAGTACTAACTTTCATAACTATTTCTTTGCCATTGATAGTCATTTTACCAAGATAATTTGGAGAGAGAATACAGTTCAGAGAGAAGTTGATTGATACCTTTTATTGAGAACATTAGTGGACACAAAAATGCCAAATGGCTGGAAGTGTGCTTCAAATAAAGTGCTAGGTGGGTTTCTTAATTTTCAAAAGTTTATTCAGCAGACCGTGTTTATAGGAAAAAGCCAAAATAATTTTCCTCATTCAGGTACTATTTCCTCTTAAATAAATGGGGTGGAGGTTCAAATAAAGTAGAGGGGTCTCTTAATTTTTCCAAATTTTAATAAGCATAAACCCCCAGCACCATTTTATTCCAGAGTGAAGAAAATTACTCTAGCTTCTCATGCTCATTAAAATTCTCAAAATAAAGACACCCCCCACCATTTTTAGCCATCTCCTATTTATTCAAGAGCAACATATTTTTCTTGATACTTTATTTTTTTTTTTGTGTTCCATAAAAAGTGTTAAATGTTTTAAACAGAGCCTGTAATTTGAAAACGAATCACTTCTAGCTTGAAGTTAAGTGGGGTATCTTTCATTAAAGTGAAAATAACTTTCTGATTGATTTTACTAACTTTTCTATTTGTTAACCCATTCACACAATACCAACAAAAACTACTTTTTGCATAAAAATCACTTAAAAAATTTATGTTGATTTATTTATTTTTTTTTTATGGCTTATCAACCCTTGGTGGATTATTTAAAAGCCAAACCATATTTTGAATTATGAGAGTAAAATTTTTTTTTTTTTTTTTGTGAATATTGCATTAACATCATTTTGGAGATAATTCCACATACATGTTCTACTATTTTACCCATAGGTGGGGAAAGGAGATGCAGTCACACCTTTCTGAATACTCTACCAAAATTCTAATTTGGCTCTTGTTTTTCATACTGAGCCGCTATTATACCAAATTTTTGAAGACCTATTACTAAACATACTATTGGCTTAAAAAGAGCATGGACAATACACTGAAAGTTTATTTTTAAATGTACTAAAAGTAACATTTTGGTACATATAATCTGAGAAAATAATGGTAGCCCTACCTGGCCACAGGTTGCCGTATTTGTTGTTCTCTAAACTGACATCATTTCCAAGAGACTTGTTCAACATTGAAACATCTGTGGTTAAAAAATAGAAAATATTAGATAATCAATCAGAATGTGTGTTTATAAAAGGTCTTTAATTAAAATAATGTTCTCGTTTTAATCTTTTTTTATGGGATAACTACTTTTATTATTTGGTTTTGCAATTGGAGTTCTTTTTTCTTATATGGATATAGATTTAGTCAGCCTTTTTCCCATTAAATGTAAAGTCTATGATTTGAAGAGATTTTTTTTTTCTTTTTATTTACCTTCAACATAAGTTGTTCCACTCTCATTGTACCAGACTCGTCGGATGTCTTGCCGTCTGCTTTTCATTAAAGCTTTATACTCGGATATTCGAAGCTTTTTTCCATCAACAATACATGTCCTCTTTGGCCTTGGTCTGCAAGAAGAATGCAATTATATAATAAAGGGCTGCCTATTTAATACAATGCATTGATATATATATTGGCTTTGTCTGTATATGAGCAAAAGGTAGCATTTTTATTTTATTACTTTTGTTATAAAAAATTTATTTTTTATTATTACTTAATAATAAGGTCAATGTCCAACAAAACTGTAAAATTTCATATATAAAATATTATAAAGAGACATATTGGTGGAGAAATAAATGTATTTTGATTTTATTCATTGGAAATTCAAATGTACTTTATTTTGAAAGTTATATTGAGCTCCACATATGTTGACTATTCAGTTACACAAAGTGTATTAGAATTCACAGTAATAGGCCCATTTTTCAAAATTGAATTTTTTTTTTTATTAACACTGTTAGTACAACACTCAATAAAATATTTCCTTAATATTCAGCAAGTGGCTATTTAAATTTTCATGAATAGTCAAATAGCTTTCTGAATACCTGGTAAGTAACTACAAGGAATTTCTGGTTTTAGTCTAATATATTTTTTTATTTTTTTTAGGAGTACAGAAATATCTAGTAGTACTAATCAAATGATACATTTTTTTCTTCAACTTTTGAGCAAGACTCCTTTTTAATTAGTTTAATTATACAATAATAAGCAAGGATAGTTTTTAGTACTTTATAAATAATTTGTAATTTTCTATCAATATAGTTTCCTTATGGACACATGAGAAACAAAAACATTTTTAATGTTGTCCTTTTTAATACAGTTTTTCAAAATAAAACCTGTATTTTTTTTTAATTGTGGAATATATAACAAGAAAATGACTTACTAAATGATATCGCTATAATATTTTAAATGCAGTGTTTGAAAACCCCATGGTGCTAATGCTGTGACAATACCACAATTTTTTTTGCATTTTTTACACAAACTAAGTTAATATATTGTTACATTTTAGAAAGAGCAGATATAAATTGATGTATATCGAAGTGCCACTAAGTTGAATACAATTTTCAATCTGAATGTTATTCACACTTGATTATAACCTTCATAAATAGGGATATAATTTCTCATTTCCAGTTTCCTTCAAAGCACCACTTCAAAAGAGATAATGGAAATTTGCATGAATAATTTTTTCATAGCCAGTTCCATAAATGTTTCTGTAGCACATTGTGTATACATTAAAATATTAAAGAGGTGTTTGTTTTATTTTTTTTTTTTTTTAAACGTTCTCAGTGTAAAGAAAAAAAAATGCACATTTTCTTTTTTTAAATTTATGACTTTTCCTCAGCTAAAAATACTTTGATATTATAAAGGCTATAAAAGGTAATTAAAGTTGCATTATTTAGTGAATTTAACTACCAGTGCATGATTTTCTGATACAATATACACCATCTTAACTACTTGTTTATAAATATAACTTTGAATCAGCATAAAACATTAGGTGTAACTTATTTTTTATGTTGTGCATTTTCTTTCTTTTTACTAAGCTGAAAATAGATCTTATTAGAATTCCAAGAGTTTTGATTTTGCTACTTGAACATTATTTGTAATCAAATCACCATTTGAGTAACTGGTTATAATTGGCCATAATTTTGATATTGTAAAGATCCATTCTCCATTGACTTAAAACCATAATGGAAAAATTTTGCTCTTTGGATTTATCAATTCTTAAATTTAAAAATTTATCAATTCCTTTATTGGTTTATGATGATAGTGAAGTTGCAGTGCTTTTAACAAAGTTGTTTTCTTACCGATATCGATAATCTGGATGTTTTTCCATATGCAGTTTACTCAAACGCGACTGTTCCTCATAGTAGGGTTGTTTCTCTGCATTTGACATAGCTTTCCACTTGGCCCCTATGAAAGAAAGGATGGAATTAATTAAACAATCAGTCTTAATTTAGTTAAAAACTGCAAGCTTAAAGATAACAGGTTTCAGTTCTTACTGCTAGGGCATGTAAAAGTAACTGTAAACTATATATATATATATATATATATAAAATGTAATGGGCAGTTACTCATTTTGGAAACACAATCATCTGCTAGGGTGGCTGGCCAATCACAGATGCAGAAGGTTGCACAGGAACATTTGGGTTTGTTCAAAGTCTACTTGTGCTTTATACTGCAACTATATTGAATGGACCTTTGTTACAGTTTCTGGGACAGAGCACATAATCTGTCAAGAACAAAAGTTTGAACAATGCCTGTATGCTCAAACACTTGGTCACAATGACCAGTGACTTTGTGCTGGTGCAACCATAGATTCCTTTTGAAGTATTCTGTCTCACTAATTTCACTCATAAGGTTGGGCCAACATTTGGTAGAGTTTTCAGGCACTTTCCAAAGGTATCACACACTAGGATCAACTCCTCAAGCTGATAACCTTCCTGACAAATCAACCTTGGTGAGATTCGAATATGGGACTCATGATTGCAAAGCAAACATTGTAACCACACAGACATGCATCTATCTCCATCTCTCTCTCTCTCTCAAAAGTGCAAGTGTGCGCACACACACAATGATGGTGACATTAGAAACAGATTTTAATATTAGATTTAGCCAAGGTTTCTGATACATTTGTGTACAGAATGAAAACAAACTAGTTCTTTGTTTTTAATGGCAAAATATTTATTCATTGTAATTAAAGAAATTTTTAAAAATTTCTCTGAAAAATATAAACAGAATTTCTATTCTGGACAATTTTATTACCATTTGATAATTGCCTATTTTCATTCAAAAAATATCTTTGTGATAAGCTTTAATCATAAAGTAGAAACGCTTATACACAATTCAATCTAAGATTAAATAATTTAATTTTGTCTTACTAACAATTTGATATAATCTGATAAAAGCCTACCCAATATTTTGCTAATGTTGGAATTGTGCATATCAGGACAGGCCTTCAGAATTTTTCTTCGCTCTTCTCTTGCCCACACCATGAAGGCATTCATTGGTCGTTTTACGTGGGGCTTTGAGGGGTCAGGTTTCTCTTTATGTGCTCTTATTATTTTGGCACCAAACATTTTACCTGAAAATAAACAAACAGATATTATAGAGTAATTATTGCTTCATAATCAAATTTTATGGCTTACTTTTCTGAAGACAAAATAAAAAGTTATATTAAAAAATATACATTAAATACCTTTTAGTTAGTAACTAAATTACGCTAAAGAAATCAAGTGAAATAATTCAAGGAAATTTTAAGCGCAAGTTAAAATTATTTACATTTGGACTGTTGTTCTCATCATTGTTGTCGTTACAATATTTTGACCATTATGCTCTCCAGCCCTCATCAGGTGCTTGTCAGTCTGGGTAAATTTCAGGGAATTTTGAACTGAACCCTTTATTTAATCTAGACCATAGCCCTGTGAGATTAATGTGTTGGTTTGTGAATTTGGTGACATTAGTAATTGTGACTTCAATCCCTGGGCTGGATAGTTTAGACTTAGTGAAAACAGGATAAGAAATAACTGAGCAGTACTAAATACAAATTAGACAAGGTATCTACCATAGAACAAGAACAATCTAACCCCATTGATTAAATAAAGACTTCTATTTGAAATTCCCTAAGGACAGAAGGTAAAAGTCTTTATTTAATGGCTGAAATGTCATGATAATAACAGTAAAGAAGTGGACAGTAGTCCAAATGTAAATAACTCCTCATCCCCAAAATTCAGACAGTTAAAATTTAAAAAGAAAAAAAATTAATATTCATTATAATAAGGATTTTAATTTTTTTTAATGATGGTTTAGAATTAAATACTCACTCTGAAGATGCTGGACATAAGTGGTTTGGTTATCATCATGAGGCATCTCTGATGGTATCATTACTCTATTGTCTTTACATGGACCCAGCTGGGAAAGTTGTGGCATTGTTGTTGATGGTACTGCATATAGTGGTAAATGCATTGGGAATACCTGGTTATTCACAGACTGTGATAACTGTCGCACGAACACCTCCTGTACCAGACTTTCCTGAGGATACATAAAATTCTATAGACATTCAATAATACTGCTTTTACATTTTTAAAAAGGGGGAAAACAGATAAAGTAACTAATAATTAAGAATATTTTTGTAGCTTAAAAATGTACTTCTCACTCAAATTAATGTTATTTTCTTACATGGTTGAGAAATATTTTATTAAAATGTGTTTATTGTATTATGATCATTGGGGTGAAAGCAGAGTTTAGAAGTATGAAAATGAATGGGAATACTATGACCCAACCCTTCTCCCCCCCATCTATGAGTTAAATAGCATGGGAACACTGGTTGTCAGCCATGGCTAAAGAGACTAGTTTAGGAGAAATAAAAATGAGTTTAAAACTGGTTTGTAGCTCAGGCAAGGTAAAACTTATACAGGCATTGAAAATATTATGGAGTTCACAGTTAATGGGATTGTGGACTGATTTTGACTTAGGATCATAAAGTTTGAATATATAAAATTTTAATATTTTACTGCATGTAACTATGGAGTCTTTCATTTCATTGTTACATTGTATGTCACATAAACAGGGGTTGCAAAAGTAGGTATACAGTAAATATTATAATAGTGGTTCTAGGATTCATTTAATGCTAGAATTTTCTTTTTATTATGATTATTTTTTAATAAATAATAAATGTTTTGCAGGTAAATATGATTGTGTGAATAACAGGGGCAAACAGTTTGAACATTTGAGGAAATGATTTGTTTGTATAATTAATACAATATGTTTTGTGCACGCGTTTTTCAGTACTGTATACCTACTTTTGCATTTCGCTTTTGGATGAGTGAATGGTGGGGAAATAAGACTTCAACTCATTTCAATTGGAATGAGTAATGAAAGACAATTGGAGTCTAATTTAAATATTAGTTTAAAAAACAAAAAAACTAGTATTCTTGCCTATTAGAATGCAGGATATTATTCAAGTCACTTTTGCAGGGAGGGAGAGGAGAATCAGATATTGTCCTTTTCTATTGATCAGTGCTAATATCTAAAACATTCTTAATTACTAAAGATTAATCCTTAAACAGCAGGAAAAGCTTTCGGAAATGTGCATGTGAAACAGGTAAAAAAAAAAAAAAAAAAAAAAAGCCTTAAAGAGTAGTTTTTATACTTATTTTTGCTTTATATATAATAATTATATCCTAACAGTGCTTAACTATACAATAAGCAAGCTCAGGTGCATTTTTTTTTTTTTCTTGTAAGACAATATATTTTTATTTTATCATTAGTTTTTATTCTTTAACACTAAATCACCAAACATTATATATAATCATTAATAAATAATCACGTATAATATTTTTACCCAAATCTTTTTAGAGAAGGACCTTGTGAATTTCATAGAGCAAGTGAAAGTTCAGCTCTTTTTTACATTAGAGAGATAAAGAGGAAAAAATTAAAAATAAAACAAATGTTAAATTCTTAAACTTAATTTTTAATAGTTGTGCACTCATTACAAATGTCACTATTTTTTTTGCCTCCCAGCTTTAATGCTCCAGGAAATGAATGAATCTGACAGTTGCCAGTTAGTCATTTAGACTTGAATCAAGACTGAATTATGTCTGTATTAGTTGGAAAAAAAGTTTAAATCAATTGTGAAGATATCTATTGACTTCCAATTAGACATAAGTTGATGTCCAATGTTTAAGGGTGAAATATATTTACTACCAAAAGATGTAACCTTGACTGCTCAAGTGGTGGGAAAAGCAGCATTGACTACTCTTCTGATTAAAATGAAGAAGCATATCTGCTATCAATAACCTTACACATGTAATTATAAACTTATGTCTTCAGGTCTAACTCAACTGCTACCTTCTTTTAAGTGCAACAAAATACAAGTTCTATCTTTTTATACTGGCAAAATAAATAAATGGTACAAAAATTTCACGCTACTGACTCCCACATTATTTTTGCAAACTAATTGCCTGTAATGTATTTGGATAGCAACATTCCAGAATTTGCAGACTCCCCACAAGCTCAGTTGTGAGTCACTACACCCCCAACCATCTTCTCGTTTCCTGCCCACTTCTACCACTCCATCGCTACTGCTGACAAATGTAAACATTTCTTTACTCATTTCAAATACATATAAAGAGTGGGTCATATTTTCTGGGACGATTATTATTATTATTGCTGCTTTTACTATTACTGGTTTAAAAAAAAAAAAATCAAAGAAACTTTAATAAACATAGAAATGTGATTATTAATGGTACATTAAAGATTATTGTCCCTCTCACCATTTTTTTAACTTGATATTTGAACCAGGTTAGCTAACTTCAGAAGGTTTATAAACAATATGAAAAAGTTTTGACCGCAATTGACATGAGCAATGAATTTTTTTTTTGATAGCTTTTTATTGTAATTATGACATTTATCATTCAAAAACAAACATTTTTTCCATCAGAAAAGAAATTGTGGCATTAAATTTATTTATTTTAAAGACGGGGCTTTTGCAGAAGTAATTGTGAAAATAAGACTTCATTTAACTTTTCCTGTTTGTTTTTTTTTTTTTTTTTTTCTATTTTTTTATGATGGTGTCAATTGATAGGTTAAATACTAGGGCAAACACTCGGTGCTGTCTAGCCATGGTTGGCAACCAGTCTAAGAAAAGGACAATTGAAATCTAAACCGTATGTAGCTCTGGCAAAGCATCTAAACTCAGTATAGTTGCAGTATAAACCACCGGTTGGCCCTATGAGCCTGAGAAGACAGGTAATCTTGGAAATGAGTAAGGATGCTGATGATTAGAAATCAATGATTTGCAATGTGCTTTCAAGTTGTAACAGTTCTGATAATAAGCAACTGATAAACTTAGCTATTGTCTTTCAAGGATATTATTCAAATGAAATGATAGAAAATTATGATCGATAAAAAAAAAAAACCATTTCTTGAAAGCATTATTTTTTTTTCTATTCATGAAGGATTTAGAATTAAATGTTGCAGGGACTTACCTTTTCTGTTTCAGATGGAGAAGGTTTGCCATTAAGTGTGGCCGCATGGGGAGAGAGATTGTTCAAATTTAATCCTCCTGGAACTGAAACATGATTGGGAAGACTTAGGTATGGATTGCTCACATATTGTGGGGGTTGGGCAACACCAAAAGGAGTCCTGCTACCAACTAAAGTTGACATGTCTGTTGGGGAAGAGGTTAATGGTTGACGCTGATGGTTGCTATGAGCTGGTGGTGGGGTGATGATTTGTTCTGCTTTAGTTTGGGATGCACCTAAATTGACAGAGTCTTCAGATGAGGACTTTTCAAGTTTCATTTCATATCTTGGTTTGGACAGATTTAAGGGCATGTCTTGATCATTGGCAGCAGCAGCAGCTGCTGCAGCTGCAGCTGCGGCTGCAGCAACAATGGACGCATTGTATCCTGATGAATTGTTTGCCCAAATATGGTTGGCTTGGGCAGCAGCTGCCACTGCAGCAGCGGCGGCATTTGAGTGAGGTGAAGACACTGGGCTGGTTGTACCATGGTGCTGTACGATGGGAGAAGGCAATGTTCTTGGTACTGATGCCGATGTCGAATGGTATGGTGAGGTAGCAGAGTGAGGAGAGGATGAAATCCGACGTGATTCCACTGTGACTGGCGATGAGATTTTGGAGGAAGAACATGATTGACTATTCACAGCCGTTGAAACTGGAAAAAAGAATTGAAAAAAGGTGTTATATCAAGTGTGGCAAAAATTTAAAAAAAAAATATATATATATTCAAGAATCATATTTGAGAAAAACTTGGCAAGTCTATTTATTGTTTAATAAATAAAGACTTGCCACGTTAATTATACAAGTTTTTCTCAAATATGATTCTTGACTATTTTTTTTTATAATTAATGGTCAGCTATGTATTTCTGAGTACCTGCCTAACTATGGTTATACGGCTGAGCAGATTATCTTGGGTGATCAACTGTTTGAATAAGACCAGTATGCGCAAACCCTTGTGACTTTGTGCTTGTACAACTATTAATGGCTTCCAAACAGTTCAGTCTACTCAATTTCACTCACAAGGCTTGGGTCAACCTATAGTATGGTTTACGGCATTTGCCAAATGTGCCACATGCTGAGATCACCTCCTGATGCTGATAATGTCAAGAAGTCACCTCCCTTACAAATCGACCATGGTGAGATTCAATTTAAGGTCTGATGGTTGAAAAGGGAACAGTGTAACCACTCGGACACACATCTCTATCTTATCTCTCATATATATATATAAGTCCTATAATTACAACTATCATAAATACAGAAGTAGAACTCCATGCAGAAAATTTGGTTATACTTTTTAATCTGCTGTAGTTTTAGAGTAATTCAAATGTGATGCCACCACCACACACTTTTTTTTTTTTTTTTTTTACAAATCCTCATTAGAACCAAGACAAAAGTAAATATCATTGAAAATTGTACTACATTATTTGCTTGGTACTGCTGAGCAAATATCTATTGATTAAATCTTTTTGAATATATTTGTGAAAGCATAGGAGTCATGAATATCATATCTATAAATCCATAAGAGTCAACAAGGAATATTTGTAAAGGTAAACAGATGACGTGAAACCACAATCATTTGATAGAATGCTAAAAAAACTTATTAGATTTATAATTAAACTTTACAAGAACAAATCTTTCCATATGTTGTTATTTCTTGCATAGTGGTACTTAACCTGTTTTTAATTGTTTGAAATGGTCTTTTTTGCCTCTTTTTGATGTTTCAATTTTTTTACTTACAAAGCTCTTTCTTAAAGAATGGCATTTGTTTCAATGAGTAACTGGTCTCAGCTGGTATTTTTGAAAGGTTTACTTTGCAAACACATATCGTTGCACTTTTATATACTATAAAGCAGAAGCTGTGACAAAGGAAAAAAAAAGATTAATAGCTGTAAATAAGTTGAACTGTTTCTGTTTTTTTTCCATGTTGTGTATATACACACACAACCATTTTTTTCTTCTGAACAATTAAAGTTTTTAGACAAAGAAAAGCCTTGAAATTCAATATATTTAAGTGATGAGTATTTAAGAATATTTGTTTTTCTGACTATGCTTAAAGAATACTGAAACAAGAGCAAAAAAAAAAAAATTAAGATTTTTCACATTTTATTTTTTTTTTTATTATAAAAAGCAGACAAAGCAATTCTCATTAGTTGTCAGTAAAAAGTATTAAAGAAAAAAAAACTACAATCCTATATAGTTGAATCCTATCATTATCACGATTCAGAGTGAAATCAAAGGAAGTCAGTTTGTCATTGACTTGGTTTATATGAAAATTCAGTTTAATGTCAGATATTTTTCCATTGGCTGGAAGTGAAGTACAGAAGTCTGTAATCATTTTTGGTTGACATGTAGCATGAAGGAAACGTAATCTGGTACCAGCTGGCAATATGAAAGAAATGCCAGAACCAACCAAGCCTGATAAGCCATAGAAATATCTGATACCCTCTCTTTCACTTAATCTAGACTTACAAATATCTTGTTAATATGTTGAGTGCATATTGTGTTATTATTATTAGAATATTCAGTGATCAACATCCATTCTAGGAGAAAAGTGAAAGAATTTGATATCAACATATTGCCATCATTTCCACCGGAAGGAAGTGGTCCCCACACCAACCAATATTTAAAAAAAAAAAAAAATTTGACCAGGAGGAAATTTGACCTTTTTGACAGGTTAGAAAGCAAAGTAATTTGTGTGTAATAGGGGGAAGGGGCACAAAATTAATTTTTATTAAATGCTTCAAGAACTATGTGAAGAAACAATTTTGATTGAAAGAAATATTTAAAAAAAAATATTATGAAACAAATACTTATTTAATGAGATTAATTAAAAACAAATATTTTTTATTTTGAAGTTTTATCATTTTTTTTTTTTTTTTTCATATTTAAATATGTATATTATTTTATCACATAGTTATTAATTTGGCAAATATGGATAAATGTACCCACAATAAGATTGTGTCAAAAGGACTTTTTTCCTCATGTCATTGCTTTTTTAACTACCTTCTCTATTCAGCAATGTTTAATTTTTTTTTAAAAGTGATGATTAGAATTGGAATAAAACCTAAACATATTAAAGTGAATTTATACATTTTCTTTCTTCTTGAGACTTGACAACAAAAATTATGAAAACTATTTGTTAGATTGTTATTTACATAAATTTATTTATTATATTATTTATTGGTATGTCTGGCAAAATATCAGCTAATTACCAATTGATTCAAACTTTATAAAATGGTAAATAATAAGGATTTCTTTATAGTTGGTTCACATATTTTAATAATTTAGTAAATGTTTATAAATTTAGGAATAAATTTTTTTTTACACATATCTTTATAAATTGGTAAATTATAAATATTGTATTAGTTTTAATTGTATTATATTTTTGATATTTGCATATATATATATATATATATATATATATATATATATTATTATTATTATTGTAAATAAACAATCTAATAAATAAATAGTGTTTAATATTTTTGTTGTAAATTCTCAAGGACAAAAACAAATGTATAAATTCACTTTTAACATATGTTTACGTTTTTTTATTCCAATAATCAGGTTTTTTTTTTTTTTTTTTTTAAAACAATAAATGTTACTGAAGAGTGAATAAGTTAAAAAAAAAAAAAAGTGTCATGGGAAAACTGTTTTATTGTAGACATGTTTATCCACGTTTGCTATTAATTCTTAAAAGAAAATTATATATATATATATATATATATATATATATATATATATATAAAACTGTTTCATTCTTTAGATGTGTTGGGGTAGTCACATGCGTTTCAAGTTATTTGAAAGAACATTTTGCAAGCAACCATTATCTATAGTAATTATTTTTATTTAACACTATCTTTTAGAGGATATTTGATGAAGAAGCATACTTCTTTTAATCAATCCTTATAGAAAATAAAAATGAGAAAATATTTTTCTGGGCCTCTGTCAATACACAAGGGAAACCCAGTTGAATATGAATATAACCCTACCCTCTAATGAAGTCCCACTCAAATAGAAATAACATAGTTTCTTATGGTAGCACTGATTTCACTAACTGGTTACAAGAAAAATCTTCCAAGAGAAGGAACATAAGTGATTCCTTAGAGACAGATAATGTTATCTAGAATCATCGGGCAGACGAGCTAATAGCTAAACACTATAAAGATTGGAGCACATGGTAAGACAGGCTGCCTTGGACCGGCAATGAAAAAGGAGTTAGTCTGTTATAATAGTTGCTTAGTTAATTAGAGCCAAAGCCATACAGAAAAAACAAAACAGAACCAGAAAAGCCAAAGAATCATTTTTCCTTTCATTCTTAATGTGTTATGATAAGAGCTAATAAAATACAGCAGATATTCCCTATTTTAAGAAAAAAAAAAAATGCCTGCCAGATCATGAATAAGAATATTTCTTTTTAATGATATAACATTTACATAATCTTTTAATTGAAAACAATTGGTTATATCTTTGTCACTCAGTTCTATGAACTGGAACTCCTATTGGAGTGGCAGTGAAAGTTTACCAGCAGTTTCCACTAAAGATAATAATGATAATATACTTTCACTTTCACTCCAGTGGGTGATCCAATTGATAAGAGAATTACAGCCATATCACTTTGAAACAATGGTTAAGTAACATAAAACCTGTTCGGTACCTAGATGGGGTGACTGTTTGGGAATACCAATGAACAAAATCCGAACTATTATCCATTAAACCACCCACACATCCAAACTTACAGCACCTAGTATTTCAAAAGAGTTACCCATCAAGGTACTGACCAGGCTTGACATGACATGGTCATAAGCCTTAATATCCAATTCCAGTTGAGTTTAGATTCACTTATACACAAATAACTACCCTTGAGAAAGTATAAATCCACGTCTTTTCTCCCCAACTATGGGTTAATTAGTAGAATTCTAAAAATATTTTCTGGTTTTAAATAACCTGCAAAGCTTGATAAGTTGTGAAAAACAAACCAATCAATCAGCCAATTGATAGAACTGAGCAATACATTCATGCTAAAACACAGTTTAAATAAGGACAACTTGAGAATAGATCATTTTTTTTTTATTTAATTTTATTATATATTAGCATGAAGTATAAAAGCATGACAAAGTTCAGCTTAATCCAAAAATTAAGTCTATTTTATACATGAAGTAAAGCCCAGCTCACATTTTCTTCATTTTAGGCAATTTTATTTTAAAGTAAAATTTCAACTTTTTTCAAATGTTAAGCATGAAATAAAGTCCTAAGTTGAGAGTGACCAGATGCAACTAAAATTATCTGATGCTAATAAATAAATTTAAAAAGCGTTGAGCCATGATGACGTTGTTTAAATGAATAATAGTTTAAATGTAGGTAATCATTTATGTACTTAAATTATCATTTTGCTTGGAATATTTACTGTAGAGTGATAGTGAGTTTCATCCTAACTGGGTGTCCCACCTAATGGGACCCACTGCCAAAAAGACTTCTTCAATGTACCTTGTCCATTTAGGACATGTACAATCATGGTTCACTTCCTGTCCTTTGTAGCTCTTACTAAAGTTTGTCATTTTGTTTTCTCTCTCCTAATTTCTGTTCTGCCAAACATTTACACAAGCTCATTAGGTTGGTTATTTGCTGATTTCCATTAAGCTTTGTAAATTACTT